AAAATTATAAATAAAAAAAAATTTGAAAAAAAATCTTGACATGAAGTTTTAACAATTAACCAATCTATGTTAATAACCATCATCTTGAAATATTAACCATTGAATGTATAAAGTAATCTATTAAATAATATATTCGCCTAATGTTAAAAAGGAGTACTGATTAAATTTTTATTTTTTAAAAAATCACAAAATTATGTGCAAAATTTAGCATCTCTAAACATTTTTATTAAACTAAAAAAATAAAATTTTGACCAATATTTTCTTGACTTAGTTGTCTTGAAAAAAATTCCTAATCATGGCTAAAGATAAATTTTCTAGTAGTGGATATTGCTAGTTGACTAGCAATGCTAGAAAAAATAATAATGATAAAAATATATAGTAAAAAATAATTTTTATTTCTATTTAAAAAATATATAATAAAAATTAATGTATAAATAACGCATGTTGCTAAACCATCACAGGAACATAAGTGATTTTTGAAAACTATCACCATTGAAATCATTGAAATCTTATACTAATTTGTAGGGTTCTGTATATTCCGTAAAAAGAACCTTTCTGTATATAATATTTTCCTTTAATTTAAAGGAATATCCTATATAAGTGATCGAGACATGCGACTTTATAATACTATGACACCAAAAATATCATCTCACTATAATATCAATCTGTATTTCACGAAACTCACTGTTACGTTTTCATTTACTTGTTTTTCTTTGTGGAGAACTAAATGACGTACACCAAATAATTTTTTCGTATACATTTTTTATAGTTTATTTAATTGCCGATTAATTGATAAAGGATGTAATTGAAAAATGAAAATTACGTTATTTAAATAACTACTTCATCATCACCAAACTCTAGTGATCGATTTATCAAAAGAATTTCATCATTATTTGTTTCTATATATTTTTACCACTTTTAAAATCTTTTCATACAAAAATCTGTACCAAAACCTGTCTTATGTGCTATGTAAATGTCGTTCTAAGTACTAATATTGATCAACCTATATTACTTCAAACTCGCACTAAAGACAGCTCAAGCACATTATTAATATTATTGTGTATTACTATTATTATTATATGTAGTTAACTTCAAAAGTCGAAAATTCGAAAAAAAATCAATTTAACACAACTCATATGTATGTAATAATAATAGAATAGTTTTAATTTGTTTTATTATTACTAAAACTATTACAACTGTTACCAATATTTCTTCTTTATCATTACATTTCATAAAATGAAAAAATCAATACGCGTCTGAATTGTCTTTAGTGCCTGAGTTTGAAGCAGATCAATATTGGCATGTAGAGCAACTTTTACATACCTACGAGTTGTGTTAAATTGATTTTTTCGAATTTTAACTTTAAAGTTAACTGTGCGTCATAGTCATTACAAAGTAATATTAATAATAAAGTAAAAACGGAATTGGGCGTCTGAGTTCGAAGCAACATACGTTGATCAATGTTGATACGTAGAACGACCTTTACATAGCACACAAGATAGGTTTTGTTTGGTACAAATTTTTGTAAGTTTTAATTTAAAAGTGATGAAAATAGAAAACAAAGAATGCTGAAATCCTTTAATTGTTGAGTCACGATAAATCAACCACTAGAGTTTGGCGCTGATTGGAGTTGTTCTTTAAATAATGCAATTTTCATTTTCAATTTTTCAAGATTTATATTAATTCTTTATCAATTGATCCTGTTAGAGAAAAATTTAAAGGCAATAAATAAACTATTTTACTGTCAAAAAAAACCCATTATAACAAAAAGTTAGATTATCACACAATATTACGAGAACATTGTTTGTTACACACCATTAATTCCGTAAAGAAAAAGGAAATAATGTAATTGTTATTCTCGAAAAAATCTTCACTGTTAAAACATCAAGTCGACTTTTATATTTTATATTTTTATATAATGTCATACGCTAGATTATTATCATCGTTATCACCAGAAAGAAAGGATTTTCTATGCAAAATTTATGGTGAAATATATCGTAATGCAGTGGTTAATTCTGATAGAGAAAGTAGAAAAATTTATTTTTTTTCATTGGTCAAAAAAACAAGGAGCTTTCCGAAAATGAAAATAAATTTTGCAAGGAAAGGTTTATTTATGAGTTTGAATTAAGTAATGCAGTGTATGGATTGGGCAAATCAAAAGAATGTAACAAATGTAAATTGACAAGATACTCTGATAGATTCTGTGAAGGTTGTATTAGTTTACAATTACAGAGTCTTTTCACCAGTTGGACATCTGGAAATAACATAATTGATGATTTTATTCAACAATCTCAAACAAAATCTTCTCTGCCAACTTATATTTTAGAATGGATACCTTTTGAGCAATTTGAAAAAGTAACAAAGTTAACTGAAGGTGGATTTAGTTCAATTTTTACTGCTACATGGACTAGAGGAAGAATAACTGATTATGACGAAAATAAAATGGAATTTAGTTATTTAGGAAAGCAACATGTGGTATTAAAAAGTTTAAACAATTCAAGTAATCCAGAAAATGACTTTTTTGATGAGGTTGGTAGTTGTCATTTAAACAATACTGTATTATATATAATACTAATTGATTTTATATTTAATTACAGGCAATGAGTTATTGTAAAATTAAATCAGGGATGATTAATCCTTGCTTTGGTATAACTAAATTCCCAGATGATGGAAATTATGCAATAGCTTTATCTTATGCTCGAGAGGGAAATTTAAGGGATTATTTGCAAAAAAATCACTTAAATTTAACATTAAAAGACAGAATCACAATCTTTATGGATTTATGTTATGCATTATATTGTATACACGAAAAAGATTTAATCCATTGTGATTTACATAGTGGCAACATACTTGTGGAAGGAGGTAGTTGTTATATTACAGATTTAGGATTATGTGGACCAGTTGATGAAAAGTTATCAAATAAAATCTATGGAATTGTATCATATCTTGCACCTGAGCTATTTAGAGGCAAAAAGAACACCAAAGAATCAGATATCTATAATGTTGGGATGTTAATGTGGGAAATATTTGCAGGCCATCCACCATTTGATGATAGGGCTCACAATCATTGTTTAATTTTTGATATATGTGAAGGTTTACGACCACCAATATTACCTGAAATGCCTGATGATTATGCAGAAATGATGCAGAGGTGTTGGGATGTGGATCCGTCAAAAAGACCAACTAGTAGAGATCTGTTTGATTTTGCTAGAAGTAAACATAACGAATTTATTAAAAATAAAAATGGTAATCATACTACTAGTAGTGGTAGTGGTGCTTTGCAACAAGCATATAAATCACATCCAAATGCATATCATACAAGTAGAATATTAGATGAAGAGATAGCTAAATCTAAAAGTTTTAAAATTTATACAGGTAATGATAGTTCGTTAAATAATCTTGATTTGAGGTTTTTTCTCTAGAACGTTAACAAAGGTGAATAAAAATTTCATTAGGTAATTATTAATGATATTATTAAATCCTAGTGATAATTGTAAAAGAAAATGACCAATTTAATCTCTACTATAAATTTATTCATTATAATAATAATTTGAAATAATAATTTGTAATTTTTTGATTCTTGTTAAATGGTGATATTGTGAGGTATCATTTGGTTAATTATGACTTAACTTTTGGGCTACTCTTGTTAGTTAATTCACAATAATTCGGTGATTGTCAATTAATTAGTTTACGAATTTACTTTGATTCCCTCTTTCTTGCACCTAGACAAATCTGTGAGCACACTTGATGGTACCAGATAACTGTAATTAAATGATGATGACCCTTTTACAAAGCTCAAGGGCTTCTAGAATTCCTTTATTCACATGTGATCGATTTATTTCAATAGTTTACATTTATTGACCAATTGCAAACTCGTTTTAATTTATTTACGACTTAATATTAAGTAGCTTGTTTAATAAATAGCCTTACGTTTACAATTACAATAACATTACCAATATTTCCAATTAACCATTAGACAATACTTGTTAACATCCATTAGTTAACCGGCGTTGGTCCTAACTTTTGTCTATTCACTAAATCATATTACGTTACTAACTGTTGTTAACACTCACTAGTTGATATTAATATTTCTTTATTTGTGAATTGTTACATGTATTTTT